AAAAAAAAAAAAAAAAAAAAAAAAAACTTATATAATGAAGATTTCTCAACCAAAACTTTTATGTAGTTTTTTTCACCATGACATTTAAATATTATTGTTTTAAAAATTGTATTTCATCTTTCAATCTATTTGACATTGTTCATTATGTAATGTATTTCTTGTGTTTTATTAAATGAAAATAATAATGCAAAAAAAAAAATTGAATAGACCATAAAAGTATAAAAGAGAAAATATAATTTAAAATCACATTGAAATATAAATTGTGAATCGTGCATGTGTACTTTACTAATTATATAAAAACAAAAAAAAAAAAAAAAAAAAAAAAGAGCAATTGTAAAAATAGTGAATGACTCTATTATTTTACAGAAGAATTATCTTCAGAAAGAGGACCCACCCTCACTATATGGTTGTCTTCTGAAATATTTCTGGTGTGGTAGCAGCATCTGATTCTAAGGTACTAATCACGGAATCCCCACTTAATTTTTTTCTTCATGAAATATTGAAATCTGTTTGTATTAGTTGGCTGAAAAAAAAAGAAAAAAAAAATTAGCATATTGACGAAAAAAGAAAGCAAAAAGAAAACCACCAACAGGGGCATGGTATTTTAAAATTAATTATTAAATTCAATTACAATTTAACTTAAAAAGTTTACATAGTGGGACATATTATATATAGGAAAATTTGCTTTTTAATTCTATTATATATGTTCACTTCCTTTCTGACACAGTCCTATCAAAAAAATTATTTGTCATCCCACACCTCGCGAAACAATATTCCATATAAAGATTGCATATCTAAATGAACCGTATAATTAACAATTATCCAGAATTTTATCGTATATATATTAACGCATAGTTAACAATTATACGAAACACATTCGCATATTTATTCATTGCATATTCAAAGCCACCACATAATTATCTCACTAACATACATCAATTATAAAATATCTTGTGATTATTAAGAATAAGAACATAATAACATAGAAATCCCCACCTGTAACTTACTTACTGACTGAATGAAAATGCGCGTGCGTTCGATGCGAAGTTCGACTCCTTTTAGTCTACAATTTAATAAATTTTATCTTATTATTAAAGGTGGCGACAAACAAGTAAGCCCGACAGGCAAGGACAGTTATAACACATAATGCAGATAAAACACACCGAGCGGGCAACTAAAACAGATAAAACTTCTACTAAAACCTCTCGACTTATCTAGACACGTTTAGAGTTCTCAGAATTCTGACTTAAGCTCGGAAAACTCTAGTAATGGGAACTTCTCGACTAAATCTGCCTACAATCTCTTGGCCGGTCATGAGCCTCTTGCGGTACGCCCTTTGTGGCAACTTGTGTGGCGGGCACCGGTAGCCCAGCGAGTTCGGCATTTCATCTGGCTTGTTTCTCGTGACCGTTTGCTCACCAATGTGGAACGCCAAAGACGTCATTTGGTAGACTCTGCGGACTGTGTAAATGTGTGGTGCGGGGGAATCCACACTCCATGCCCTTCGTGATTACGTCGCGGCTCGCCTCGTTTGGATTTATTTGGTGTCAGCTCTTGGCCGCGTGCATTTCTGTGTGTTATACCTCGTTGACTGGTTGTGGTTCAACTTGAACCCAGCGGCGGATATGGACAATGGTTGCTCGTCCACTTTCTCTATTGCTGTTGGCGGATTTGGTCTTAGCGGAATGCGACTATTTTATCTGAAGTTTCATGGCGAGTGGATTTTGAGGTTAGTGACATCAGGTGACGTGTGGAGGGGTGCTTAGCAGCGGCCGCCGGCATTACGAAACTTGGCTCCCTAGCCCAGCAGTATGAAACTTGCTTGATTCGTTGTTCATTGCAGTTGCCAGACTGGGTTAAGGTTAATACGAATGGGGCGTTTTCATCCCATACGGGTGGTTGATGCACGGGAGGGTTGGTTCGCGATTCCCAAGGCTACTGGCTCGAAGGATTTATGATGAATGCTGGAATTTGTTCAATTACCGGAGCTGAACTGTGGGGGCTATTTCACGAACTATCTCTCGCGTGGACCTTGGGCGTCCGGAAGGTGGTGGCGGAAGTGGACAATAATAGCGTGATTACTATGGTTATGGGGTGAAAGGACGTGGGTGAGATCCATGATAGTTTTGTTCGGGCCATACGAGAATTACGGGATCGTGAGTGATCGGTGGAATTAGATCATGTGTTTCGGGAAGCGAATTTCACTGCGGATCATTTGGCTTCTTTAGCGGTGTCCGAACCCTTAGGGGTGCACGATCTTCACGTCCCACCATCGTCAATAGGCACGTGGCTTGAAGATGATATTATTGGGATGGCATACCCCCGTCGCGTTTTGTTTTAGCGTCCGTTAGGCTTAGGCCTCCCTTTATTGTACTGAAGACAAAAAAAAAAAAAGGCCACACTTAGGGCTGCAGGAAATTTGAAAAGAGCCAAGGGGTTTAAGGCCAAATTTTATGGAATGTAGTTGGAGATTAAGTCCACCTTTGTTACTTGCGGTTGAAAGTGATTTGAAAGAGGGATTGAGAGCCAAGATTCAAGGGTTGATGGGGGTGTGAAAGAGGTTTTGAGACTAAGTCTTATTCTTGCATGAGAATTCCAGAGTTTTTTAAAAAATAAACTAAGGGTGGCGGGTTGAGCTCAAAATTAAAGAAAATACTAAGGCCGGATGCCATAGGCACTTAAGGCATAATTTGGCAATAAACAAAAATCAATTTATTTACAATTCAACTAAAAAAATAATACTCTTAGGTAAAACTTCAAATAAAACTAAGAACTCAATACAAAATATAAGAATACACTTAGGCACAAGATATAAATTCAACACATATAAAAAGGACTAAGGTAACACAATTGAAAATTGGGCACTTTGATAACAAATTGGACACTTAGCAAAAAAAGTACGAAAATAAAGAGTACACATGATTTTGCCGATCTATTGGGAGATCGATAAAGAGAGTGAATTCTCCGAAAAAGTGATTGTTGAGAGTGTTACACTACAATGACAGCTCTTATGTTTTGTGTTCGAGCTTGTTGTTCGTGGTGTTTCTCTTGAGTTGTTGTGTTGTTGAGGTGCTATATGCCTCATTTATATGTGGAAAAAGGTAATACAATTATGGCAGCTTTCCACCTTAGCAGCTAGGCGATCGACGCATGTTATCATGCAGAAATTCGATTTTTGAGGATGAGATGTGTATTATAAATCTTCATGACAAGATCGATCGGGCGATGGGACAAGACCGATTGGACAGTGGCTTTAAAGGCTTCGATAGCTTTACCGATTCAGTTTGTCAGAGGATGCTCACATTCTGCAAATAGATCATCAAGTAAGTCTTCCGAGGAAACGACAGTGAGGGATCAACAGAAACGACGACATACTTGATGGGCCAAATCACTTCTTGAGCCAAAGTCTTCCTTTCTTTTAGGTGGACTTTGACATTTTAAGCCCACGTACAACACAATATAAAATGGTTATAATTTGGATAGGGCATTACTATTTACCGCCCCCCTTATTACTAGTCACCGCCCCCCTTGGACGATTTTGCCCTTTTCATTTTTTGTGTCCGCAAGATGTCGACCAGCTCGGAGGTAAAAAAAAAAAACCGTCCGGCCACCAAAACCGCCCGGCACCGGTTGTGTCCGGCCGACCGGACCGGACGTCTTAACACGCGTCCGGCCAGTTTGAACGGACACACCCCCGGCCGTGCAGTTTTGCTGGCCGTACGTACCGGTGGTTGTACTAACGGACCGGTCGTACGACCCACTTGGTGTCTGGCCGCGACGGCCGGTTGTAACCCGGTCCGACCGGCCGGACATCCTTTTTTTATTTTTTTTATTTTTTTATTATTAATTTTAAATGCTTTAAAATTATTAAATACATTGCAGGTGTCTTTAGAAGATTTTGGAGGAGATGGTGTTGATTACCGTTCTGCTTTCAATACAACTACGCTGTTTATTAGTGATGTGGAGGATATTAAGGATGCAAAAAGTACGACAATTATGAATGGTTTCTTTTTGACTATTTCGAAACACAAAAAACCCGGAAGGCTGAAGATCTTGAAGTGCGATCGAGGCGAACGTTATAGAGGCAAAAACGTAGATATGAATAAAGCTGTTTCGAGACGTTCAAAAACGAAAGCGTGCCAGTGCCCTTTTGAGATACAAGTAAAGCGTGTTGCCAGATCGACATACTGGATGATCCACACGAGTCAAGACGAAACGAAGGGATACCATAATCATTCATTTGCCGTGTATCCTGAGGGCCATCGACAGTCGAGCGGCATAAGCGTGTCATCCAAAAAAATTATTCATGAAATGACTGCTGCGCATGTGACACCAGCAAATATTTTGGCCACCGTCCAGGAAAAAAATCCACACGATCATGCTAATCGGCGACATGTATATAACTATAGAGACTGGTTGCGTAAGGAAAGTTTTGAGGGTAGGGAAGTTCCTACCCAACTTCTACATTTGGCAAACAGCAGCAACTACATAGTTTATACAAATGTCGATCCGAATACAAATGCGCTGACACACATATTCATGGCCCATCCTGATTCAGTGAGTCTATTCCGGACTTATTATTGGTTTGTCGGCATAGATTCGACGTACAAAACCAACAAGTATTTTAAATTTATAGATATGTTATTAGTATTAATTTAAATTTGTATTTTGGATTAGATTTAATGTGATTATAATTTATTTCTTTTGGTCTCATTTTCACAGGTACAAGATGCCGTTGGTCGAGATGATTGGCATGACGCCGTGCAACAATAACTTTCTAATTGCGTATGCCCTCATGAAGGACGAGAAAGAGGCCAGTTATGATTGGGTTCTCGACAAGTTGAGACTTCTCATAGGCTATACGGTAAGAATTTATATGAAGTACATGATTAATTTAATTAGTATATAAACGTACTTTGTGCAATATGGTAAAAAAAATTGAGGTTTTTTTTGCGCGTCTCACTCATTTTTTACGTTGCTCAGGTGCATCCTAATGCGGTTGTCAGTGACAGAGATTTGAGCTTATTGACTCCTATTAGGAGGCATTTTCCCCAATCTGCTCACTTACTCTGCACGTGGCACATCAACAAGGATATGGAAAACAATGTGTACAACTTGTTTGGGAAAGATAAAAATTTATCTGAGAGGTTCTTGCGCGGTCGGTGGAAGTCGATTATGGATGCCAGTACGTCGGATGAGTACGACACTGCCGTAGCTCAATTGAATGCAAAATACGGGAATGATTCAAAAGTGGTACAATATCTCGAGCAGACGTGGCTAGGCCACAAGGAGAAGTTTGTGAAAGCCTGGACGAACCAAGTAACACATTTTGGCAACACAACTACCTGTAGGGTGGAAAGTGCCCACTCTGTGTTGAAGCAGTGGCTTCGCACGTCGACTGGCGCGCTAGATACAGTGTGGCATAAGATTGATAAGGAGATCGAGTCTCAATTGACTGAAATCTGGTACATTTCTCAAATATATTATATATAAGTATAATATATTATATTATATAAGTATATTATATTATAATTTGTTTTGTAATGTATTAACAGGACAACACTTGAGTCTTCGAGACTTAGGAAGAGTACGGCATATACGGGATTGACTTTCGCGTGCTTGACATTGAGAGTCTCGCATTACTGTATGAATTTATTGAACGATGAGCTAACAAGGATGCGAGACTTGAGCCATGAAGTTTACTTGCGCTGCGGCTGTGTATTGCCTACCACACATGGAATTCCTTGTGCATGTACGCTTCGTACAACACATGATTCTAAAATGACGATTGGTATTGACATGATCCACGAGTTCTGGAAGACACTAGAGATGTTAGAACCAGGTAATTTGTGGTTAATGTTTATTTATAATTTTATACTTTGTGATTCATTTTAAATTACACATTAAAGTATATTACTCTGAAAAAAAAACAAGGTGCAGGCAGGTCACACGACTCGTGTGCCTAGTGACACGGGTCGTGTGACCCTCACACGACTCGTGTCACATGGTCACACGAGTCGTGCGCCTACTGAGGAGAATGGATGAAAAGACACGGGGTTTTCACACGACTCGTGTGCCAAGTGACACGGGTCGTGTGACACTCACACGACTCGTGTCATCCGGTCACACGAGTCGTGTGCCTACTCAAGAGAAATGATAAAAAGCCACGGGGTTTTCACACGACTCGTGTGCCTTGTGACACGGGTCGTGTGAGCTCACACGACTCGTGTCACATCTTCACACGAGTCGTGTGACTAGTGACTCTCTGAAAATCTGGTTAATGTTTATTTATAATTTTCTACTTTCTGATTCATTTTAAATTACACATTAAAGTATATTACTTTGTTTAATTGTTTCAATTTTTGGATCGTATACTTTTAGGGACAAATCACCAGAGCCAGCATAATCAGGGTGCCTGGACAGATGTTGAGTTTTTTCGGACGCTTGCCAAAGAGGTTGAAGCGAGTGATCCTGCGACGATGCGGTACTGCAATAACCTCATTTACGGTCAGCTTTACCCGGACCAACAAGCATATGGAGAACCGGAGGTTAAGGAAAATACGCGAGGTCGTCCCAAAAAAACTGATTCTACTAAGCGTGAAGCATCGCGATGGGAGTATAGGGATAATTCGCAAGGTCGTACAAGCAGTTCTTCGCGTGGACGCACTTCTTCGTGTGGACGCACATCTTCGCGTGGACGCACTTCTTCGCGTGGACGAACTTCTTTGTGTGGACCGAGAACCAGCCAATCTTCTGAACCGTCACAAGAGGCACACCAAGGTGACATTTATTTTTTATAAAGTTGAACGTTAATTAAAATGTTAATTTACAAAATTATATTATTTTATTGTGACGTGAAATTATTATGATGTTCCAGCTGGTACCGAGACAGATATATTTAGCTTTAAGTACAACAACAGTGTTCCCTGGAATATGTTGGACTACGTAGTGAGCTACTTGAATGTGAAAGCAGATGGGAACTGCGGATGGCGGGTCATCGCGAGTTACATTTACGGGGACCAGGAGATGTGGCAACTCGTACGAGAGAACGTTGCCAATGAGATTTACAGCCACCGTGCCTTGTACGAGTACATCTATTACAGGGATATCGACACGGCACTCGATCGAATAAGGTGGGACGGGGGCGCTTATTATTATTATTATTATTATTTTGCTCATATTTATATTTTATATTTATTTTTCTTTTATATTATAATTATTATTATTCAAATGCTAATATTTTAATTTTATAAGGTGGGACGGTGGCACTTGTGGCACGGGTCACTGGATGGACACTCCAAGCGACCTCTACCCTGTTGCAACCCTATTTAATGTGGTTGTCGTTCTTTTAAGCTCTGGTCGCGATGGTCGTATGTCCAACCAGTTCAGCTGCACAGTATTGCCGCTCGCTGCAGCATCAACGAGCACAGGGCCACGCCGTGAGATTTGCATATGTCATCTTGGTAGCTACGAACACTACATTCGGTTAGATTTGACTCCGGATTGTCCATTAGCGCCTATTCATAGTATGTGGTTCAGACACCGAACTTCTTCGGTGGAGAATTGGGAGAATCAGTACCAGTCTAGGTTGCAATTATGGTTTGATGCTCAAAATAACCCCTGAT